ACGTAATCTTCCCTGAATGCAACACAGTATATGACTGCTGCGTGGGACATCAGGAGTAGTATAACAACATTCACATTGATTTACATATATCAAGGAGAACAGCGCGGAAGTCACACGCATACTCACCGAACAATACAACGTGGGACACCGCTCTTAATAATAATTTGTATGCGGACGATGTGAAAATTATCATACACTAATGATTCTCGTCTACTAGACGATTTTAACGCTATGCAATATTGGAGTTCGACCAATCAATTTCAAGTGAATTGTTCAAAGTGTCTGTTTATGACATTTAATCGTTATCTTGTGAGTTATTCAATCGACAATACTCCATTGCAACGTATACTCACAGTTAAGGATCTAGGCGTTCTTTTTGATCCTAAACTCTGTTTCAATCTTCACATAGATAACATCGTAAAAAGGTGTACTTGGATTAATTAAACGATGGTCTAAAGAGTTAAACGATCCTTTTATAACGAAACTTCTGTACATCTATCTTGATCGCCCTATCCTTAAATACTGCTCTTGCATCTGGTCTCCGCAGAATAACAATAGCCAGGATCGTATTGAATCTGTTCAGAAGCAATTTCTGCTTTTTGCCTTACGAGGTTTAAATTGGGACCCTAATCTTCGGTTTCTATCCTACTCCAGCAGGCTTCCGTCGTAAACCAACCGTAGGACAATTCTCGGTGTTGTCTTTCTACATAAGTTGGTTGCTGGCGATATAGATTCTCCTTTTCTGCAAGGCGTCTTCAATTCTCTATGCCGGCAAGGCCAACCAGAAATTGTCGCTCCTGTGTGTCTGTGCGTAGAGGTCGAAAATCCAAAATCCCAAAATCTTGTTAAATTTGCATCGGGGACAGGCAGGCAGGCAAGCAACAGGCACACAAGCGCATAAATGCTTCTATTCATATACAAAATATGCAAGTGTGCGTGAATAGCGAGTCCAAAATATTTGAAATGCACGCATGGCAACGCTTAGCCTTACCAACGATAGCGAGAATGCAAGAATTTCGCATCGACGTGGCAAACCCTGTCTTTATTTCATATTACTCGTCTCTTCAAAAGGGTAGAAATGCCTCAGCAGTTGAGAAAAATTGAATTTGTGCGCAGTTTTAATTGTCGGACACATACACACACACATATTTAAACGATCCCTAAACATAAAGAGGGAGCATTGAGCTGAGATTAAGTGCGAGCGAGGTAAAAATTAACAGCGTTGCCGTTCTATTGCCAAATCATGGAAAAGAGTGCGCCAAGCACTTTCCTGTAGAGTAAGCGGTTCAAAAATACATCATATGTATATCTTACTCCGTTACTCGCGAGTGTAGACCAGATGCCTCCGATACTTTTTGTGCCAACGTTTCTTCTATGTGTAGTCCAGTCTATATGTTGTTTGGTTAGTGCTTATACAGACATCTATTGAATTGTCAATTAGTTTAAGCCTCCACGTCAAAGAATGCAGACGTGTAAAACAATGTATGTTTTTACATTTTTTAATTGTTGCTAATTAATTGTTATTTGTTTAAATTTTATTTAATGTAACTTAATGTTATTTTTTTATACCCTGAACCCATTAAAAATGGGTATAAGGGTATATTGTATTTGTCCGAAAGCCAAATGTATGTAACAGGCAGAAGGAAGCATCTCCGACCCCATAAAGTACATATATTCTTGATCAGCATCTATAGCCGAGTCGATCTAGCCATGTCCGTCTGTCTGTCCGCCCGTCCGTCCGTCCGCCCGTCCGTCCGTCCGCCCGTCCGTCCGTCCGTCCGTCCGTCCGTATGTATGAACGCAAGGATCTCAGAACCTATAAGAGCTAGACTTGCAATTTTAGATGTATGTGCTCCTAGTTCCCGCGCAGATCGAGTTTGTTTCCGATAATCGATAACTTACTCCATTTCCAAGCAATCGATAAATATCGATATCGACATCCTGTTTTTTTTTTTAGCAAATTGGGTAAATAATAAGAGCTAGAGCCACCAAACATGATATGTTGCTTCTGGAATATTATAGATATTTCAAGTATCTTTCATTTCATACCTATCGCCACCTCCCCGCTACCACCACAGAGCTATAAATCAAGTTAATAATCCAACTTTTATTGCCAACCAATTTAAACCACAATTTAAATGCAATTGACTTTTTCAGAATACACAAATATTCTATGGTACAATAAGATATACTGTAATAATTTCATAAAGATCGGTTAAGAAAAACCAAAGTTATATGCAACTGCGCAATTAAATGGGGCAGCAGCTTTAAGAATTTCTGTATACATGTACACACACACATTCATGCGCGTCTGCTTCGCATTCTAATAGCATGGTAATTGCATTTTTTTTTTTTGTAATGTTATTTTAGTTCCTTTTTTTTATCATAAGTACTTAATTGTTGGTGTGGCTGTTGAGTAGAGGCATAGCAAGTGGTGAGGTCTGTCGCGAGTTTAAGCCCTACCGGGGAAAGTATTATTATTTTTTTTTTTGCTGGTGTGGCTGTTGAGTAGAGTCGACAGCAAGTAATGCGGTCAGTTGCGAGTTCGATCCCTGCCAAGCGAACATTTTTTTATTAATTAATTTGGTGTTGGAATAAGAGGGTTCAGGGTAACCGCTAGTCGGGAGCTCCCGACTATAACCTCTTACTTGTTGTTTTTTGTGTTAGTGCCATGAAGACGGTAACCGAAGTGCAGCCGAAATATATTGGTTAGATTCAAACAAAATTGCGTTTAAATTTGTGTCAAATAAAGAAACCCCGGACCTCGAGCCAGCCAAACAAACAATTATTTGTCGCTAATTAATAGTCGTTAAAATTATAAGCTGAACAAATCATAAGAAATCGCTCTAACTATTTTATTTTTCTAATGTCAAATACTTTTGTCCACCATTGTGAATAACATTAACTCCTACCACTAACCATACAATGTATAGATACGTCAAGCAGCCGAATATTCGGAACATGTTAAATCGCAACGAGTCAGCTCCAAGGGTGCCTTCGACTATTTTGTTATGCCCAGGGAGAGTGAGACTGCTGAGAGTGGCAGCCGAACGCCGGCCTCAAAATCCGAACGTTCAGTATGAAACCGCATCTCGCTCAGCGCACGGCGTCGCTGCGGTTGATGCCTTTTCATAATACATGTATGTATGTTAATTTTGAATTCCAAAATCATATGTGTATAAATAAATATTTAAATAATAAGTGCTTGCGGATTTTCGTTATAACACTTTATTTTTGATTATTTGATTATTTAAGAAACACAAAATTAATTAATTTATATTGGTTTATAAAACACTAGGCCGATACGCCGTAGTGAGTGAGTTAATTTATGCGCGAAGTCGTTCGGCCGATGTGCCTCAGTGAAAGCCGTATAAAAACTAAACTTACAAAAGATTGATCAAAATTACCTAAGCTATTGTGTGCACAACGGAATGCTTAGCTTGCGCCTCGTGCGCTGCCGTCGTGCAATAACATCTGGCCCAGAGATATGTCATCATCTGTGGCTGGTGTTATATTGCATTTCGCTGACCCCTGTCAACTCGTAAGAACATCCGGCCCAGTGCTATGTAATCATCTGGAGCTGGTGTCATTGGCCTCTGTTAACTGCTCCCCTTTTAAGTTAAGGCCGTTCTCGGCCGCTTCAATCTCGGCGATCATCTTTTTAATCTCCTTGGCCGATGTCATGTTTTTGGTGAACCGACGGTAGGTGACTCCGACGCAAATTATGGTGCAACACAGCACCCAACAAGAAGGCTATTACCACGTTGTCGACGCTTCCAATATCGTCATTGACTTTCTTGATGATCTCCAGGTTACGTTCATTCCAGCGATGAAGGTAAGGGAGACTCAGCACGTCTTGGTAGCCGATGACGTTCAGAAGGGGAGATGCCGCGATGCCGGGGATCTAACTCTGGACGTTGTTCGGATTCAAGTATTTAGTTTCGTTGATTAGAGCCCAATTATTGAACGTGATTAGATTCGTTCCGTGAACCCAAGTCTCAGTACCGTTGTCAGTGCAAACTTTAGCAGGCCGGTTATTGATGATCAGAATTCCGTCATCGACCCATGTGATCGGGTCTAAGTGACTCGGCTGAATTTGGCAGTTTGCCAAGCCACCAGCAGGCAGCTCTCTGGCACAAGAGCTGGTCGGTGAAAGTTGACAAAAGGTTCCTTCCGGCGTGGAAACGCAATTCTTAAGGGCAAGCACTTGATCTCCGCACTCAGCTATAATGTATATGTATATGTCGTCAATTGTAGCACAGTATTCTCATGTGCAACAGGATACAGCATAACCTTTCTGCAAGCCATTTTGATTTTCGGGAACTTAATGATAAAGTGAAGGGCATTAACAGATTGTAATACTTTCACGGACGCAACTGACATAAGGTCAGCTATTGAAGTACCTGTGGGTTCATCGATCCAAACAGATTTCAAATCTGCGTGATCTAATATATTTGGGCTTATGATATTAATTTTTGTAAGGGTAACAGCGAGAATCAAATTTTGCATTTCCATCAGCAACATTCTATTCCGAGCTAAAAGAGTTTCGTATAAATGCCCGAAATCTATCTGATTCTTTTTTGCAGCTTTTAGTAATGTGTTGTCACTTGTAGTGAGTTGATTGATTTGTTCCTGAACTTTTGTGTTGATAGCTACCAATCTGTTGTTAGAGTTCACCAACTGTAGTTCAGTGAATTTGATCTTCTCGAAGTCACTGGCGTCAGGTGTTCCCGCAACTACTTTGAGGGCTGTACCCAAGAAATCTAAACATCTTGCCACCCTGTGGTGCACGCCAAGAGCTTCTAACTGATCTCTGAGGTGGGACGCATCTACGCTTAGAAGCTTTCTCATGTGTGACTGCGGAAACATTTCACATAGCTCAATTGTTTCACTTACCATTTTCTCGTACTCAGAGATGTTTGCTGTGTGCTTGACGAAATTGAATTCCTCCCAGACCAGAACTTGGCCCTCAACAATGGGAATATACTTGGCGTTTGAGTAATTAGTCACACGCGCTGCCGCACTTACCAAAAATAGAAACAGCAGAGACCCGAACCTGCGGAAGACAGACAAAATGGACCAAACCATTACTACGTGTCTAAAGGTAATGCCAAGGGCGTAAATATTAAAACTTAAAGGTGAAGCCTTGTGGCTCAAATGTTGAAACTTATAGTTAAATTCAGGATGCATAGAATCGATGTTATATTTCAGCTCTCGCCCTACTTTAGGTTGTCCTTGTGGACCACCCTCCCTCCAATGAGAACGGTCGTACCAAGGTCTGCCTCTACGATCCGTTCTTCACATAAGGGCGTGAGTTTATTGCCAAGCCTGCGGTTTCTTTTTACTAGTACTTTTTCACCTACTTCAATGACTCTATTTTACCGATTGTCGTTCAGCCTGGTCCGGAGCGCATGTTGCGCACTCCTTAACTTTGCTGATATTTCCCTTTCAGGTTCGCTGAGAGCACATGGAGGGCATTAAAAGGTCTCTTGTTGATGACTGAATGTATTGTCTTGTTATATTCAATCGTGGTTAGCATTATGACTTCGACTGAGTCACTGATGTTTCTCTCCAGCTTGAGGCAACGTGCAAGCTCGGCTAGAGTGCTATGGAAGCGCTCGACTTGGCCATTGGAGGTGCTATGCAGCGGCGGCGCATTAACAATATGGACTCCGTAGTTGTTTAACAACAGGGTCTTTATCGTTTAAGAATTCATCGAAGGCTCGTTGTCGCAATGAATTGTTCTGGCTGGAAAGAAATTCATGAGCTGCAGTAGTGGAGCTTTTAAGTCCCCGATACTACGCGACTGAATTGGTTGTACGACTGCAAATTTAGAGAACTTATCAACACAGGTCAACAAAAATTGTTCGTCCGTAGAAAAAAATATCAATGTGTAGAAATTCCCCAGGAGTCTCAGGGATCGGAGTTTCTTCCAGCTCTTGTCTTTTCGGGTGCCTATCGATTTTGCTGCTGAGTACATTCTACAACTTTCCACAATTTCCTTAGTCAACTTCGCCATTTTAGGGAAATAGTATTCTGATAACAATTGCTTAACACTTTCTTGAGCTGCTCTGTGCGCTCTATTATGTTCGGCAACGAGAGTTTCTCTACTCTCATCAACGTTGAAGACATCTGCAACTCGGTTTTTGCAGTGCCAGAACTTAGTGCCTGGAAACTTTCGAACTAAGCCATCCTGCAACTGTGCTAGTGTGTGCAGGCTGCAATAGAGGGCACTAACTACATTTGGATTAATCAAGTCAGGGAGGTCATCTAGAAGGGCTGTGCGATCAGTGAAGCTCACTTCATGACGCCTCTTGTCCCCGAAAAGAATGAAGTTGCGTTAAGTGGGGACGCGTGCCTCCTCAATGACAATTTGATTTTGGAAACAATTAAGTTTCGGTTGACTCAATTGTATAGATCGAGGACAGCTCGCTGTGGACTGTGGCTGCGTAGGAATTAGTATTCAGCTCGTCAAGAGCGTTGAGCCGTTGTCACGATAACGCATCAGCAACTAAATTATCCTTGCCTGGGTTCTAAAATATTTGCGCATTCGTTTTCTCAATGCGCGCCTTCCATCTTTTAATTTTGGCGCTCGGGTTTGAATCAGAAACGGCTAAAGTTAACGGTTGGTGGTCCGTGAAAATGTTAATGTCTTTTGCCCCATATAGGTAGTAACGTAGCTTGCTAAGGGCCCAAACTATAGCCAAAAGTTCCCGTTGGTTTCAATGTTCTGGAAATCATTGAGATGGGGCGACCCTCTTGAGAAAGCACTGCCCCTATGACGCAAGCTGAAGCGTCTGTCGTTAGTTCAAACGGCTTCTTAAGGTCAGGGTATCTGAGCATGACGTTTTCTGATGACAAAATGTTGCGTAGCTTTTGGAATGCGTGATGGTGAAGCTCAGAGAGTTCCACCAGGATGTTTCGCGATCTATGTTTACTTACATTCTCACCCTTTAGAAGATCAGAAATGGGGTTTGCTATTAAGGCAAAGTCTTTGATGAAACACCTATAATAACTGGCCAGTCCTAAAAATGATCTGATCTCGAATATATTCTTAGGTTCCGGGAACTCCTGAATCGCTTTGACTCCATTACTGGTTACCACGAAACCAAGAAAACCTACGATTTTCTTAAAATAACGCGATTTTTCCATGGAGATTCTCATATTTGCCTCGTACAAGCTCTTTAAGACCCACTCTACATGTTGGACATGAAAATTTTCGTCTTTTGAGAAGACGATGACATCGTCAACATAGACATAACAATATTTGCCAATTTGCTCACGCAGTACGTCGTCAACAGTTCTTTGGAAGATGCTGGCCGCATTCTTCAACCCAATGGGAAGTCGACAAAATTCGTACTTCACCCGTTAACTGCAAAAGCTGTTTTTTTACGGTCACGCTCTGCTAGCGTGATCGGGTGATAGCCGGATTTCAGGTCCAATGTCGAAAAGTATTTAGCTTTGCCAAGATTCCTTAAAATCATTGGAATATTAGGCATAGGATGCGAGGCGCATATTCTTGTTATCTTGGGATAGGGGTACAGTCGGACATAAGCTGGTTGTTCATCAGTGGTCCTGATAGTGGCCACCACTGATGTGTTATAGGGAAGTGCTTCTTCCGAATCCGCAAAGGCCTTATGTTTACTTTTTAGCATTTTTAGGAATGCATCTTTTACAGCATCGGGTGCGTCGGCGCAGTCAACATTGGTATAAAATGGGTAGAGAAAGAAGATTTTACTGGGCGCACACCTTTTAAATTTAATTCTGATATAATGATATAATTCTTGGAAGCGACCCTGTCGATGAGAAATCTCATTTGGATCCCTGCAACTCTCCTACTGATGTAGGGCAGCAGGGAGCTTCCCCTAAAAAATTGAGAGTGTCTGAGTCATACTCGCTACCATTATCGTCGGCAATTTGCTGTTCTGCTGCTATTGCAGAGCTAGCATACGAACTTGATCAGGCTCGTGAGCTGTGTGATTGACTCTCTGACTCCTCTGTCCGCTTAATCGCCCAGACGTGGCCTTTTTTTTTTGTAGGCTTGAGGAGCGCTAGAGTTAACGTAGGCACCAGCCTACGATGGTTGCGATGGTTGTAGAATTTTTGACACAGATGGATCGACGTCCATTGGTTCCTGTGACCCGCCACCTTCGTTCCACCTGCCACTCTGTTGCTCAAATTGAATTTGTTGCTGTTTCTGTTGTTTAGTGAAGTGAGGATTTTTGGAGCCGCGGGATTGCGGATCCCACTGATGTTGACCCCTATCTTGCTGACGGGCCTGCGGCCTCGGGGTCACTTTTCGTTTCCTATCTTCTTGCCCTTTAGCGAAGCTAGCGGCAAAAGTGTACCTCTTATGGTTACCCTCTACCTCTTGCGCTAGAGCTAGGGCCGATGGTAAGTCCTTAGGCTTTGCCGCGAACAGGACATCCGTCAGGCTACGCTTTAGGCCTGAGACAAAAACACGCAACGCATCATCTCTGAACTTCGTACAGAGCCCTTGTGCCATGCTTGGTTCGTAGGACATGTTGACCTTATTGATGAGAAGAGTAAGCTTTTTCTCAACCTCGTCATAGTATTGTAAAATTGTTAATGAGCCCTGTCTTAGGGTGCTCATCTCTTGATCTATGACGTGAATGCCTCTCTTATCCCTGTATGTGAAGCCGAGACGGTTTATTATGGCATCAAAATTCATTACTGTGTCAGCTGCCCCTCTAATTTTGCTCTTAAGAATGACCGCCTGGTAGTGGCGTGAGCTGCCGTCATATGGCTTGTAAATTTTATATGCCGCTATTGCAGCTTGTCTCCAAGAGGCGTACGTCTCTGGCACCCCCGTAAATTCTGGTAAGCATTTAACGGCGTCCAATTATTCATTACATTGGACGTCATTTCTGATTTCCACCGGCTCATATGCTTAGATCGGCGGTGTTTCTATACTACTGGCAGATATTCTGCCTGCCAATTCTTGTATCCGAGCGTTTAAGGAAGCCCTCAGTTCTGCATCTCTTTGCTTCAATACTGCGCACTGTGCTTCTAAGGCGGAGCCAATGCGGCCTGCACAAAAGTCCTAAGCTGCTCAGGATCCATTCCTATTTTACACCTGTTGTCAGCGATTTTTTGCGGGACGGCTTCCCTGTCTAAGGTGGTGGAGTCGTCTGACTCAGATCCCCACGCAGACCGGTCTCTGTACCTGAGAAGCTGTTCTGTTCATGGACTATACTGTCAACAATAATAACAACACAATTTCAAGGGCAAATAACAAAAGTAAATTAAATGAATGCTGACAGAGAAGAGTTTATTGAAAATTGCTGATGGATGCAAAATTGTGCTACTCAAAGTAAGTTCGAACACAATTACTGCAATTTTAATATTTCTCAATTATGTATTTTTGGATTTTATTTTAAATAATCCACGCAAATTGAAAAAAGTTTGTGCCAAATGATGGCCCACTTACATTTTATTTGATCCTAGTATGCTCTACGTCTAAAACTACTGCTTCCCACGCTGCAGTCGCGAATGCTCTTTTATAATCCCTCGCTGAAATCTATGCGTGTTGGGTTACTTCGCTGCCCAAACCCGCTTGAGAGCTCCAGCGGCTTCGGTGTATCAAATGGCTTTTTATTGGGCTTGTGCCGCTGACGTAAATTGATGTAGGTCAGGCACAGATTTTATTGTTTGCACTGGTATGTTGGGTTTTGCTTTTACCCAGCGCTAAGAGTCTTGTACTGGTAGATTAGTTTTTTACACTGCACAGCACACAAAATAATTATAGAACAAAATGGTCATTAGGCGCCAATTAATATATACATAAAAGCTCCTCGCGGAGTTTCGTTATAGTACTTTATTTTTGATTATTTGATTATTTAAGAAACACAAAATCAATTAATTAATTATTGTTTATAAAACACTGGGCCGATACGCCGTAGTGAGTGAGTTAATTTATGCGCGAAGTCGTTCGGCCGATGTGCCTCAGTGAAAGCCGTATAAAAACTAAACTTACAAAAGATTGATCAAAATGACCTTAGCTATTGTGTGCACAACGGCCGCTAGAATGCTTAG